ATTGGTTACATTCTTTTTTTTTTTTTTTTTCCTATTGCACAGGGTTTGTTTTTACAAAAGTAGAATAACTATAATAACAACACTAATCTACCATGGCTGACATGGTCAGTGGCCCATCTATATTTACTGGGATCTCGGTATCATTATTTTATTTTATTATTGTTGTTGAGAATATATACAGCAAAACATACACCAATTCAACCATTTCTACATGTATAATTCACTGACATTGATTACATTTTTTACTTGCACAACCATTCTCACCCTCCTTTTCTGAATTGCTCCTCCACCATTAATATAAACTCACTGCCCCCTAAGGTTCCTATCTAATCTTTGGAGTTTCAGTTGTCACTTTGATCCTATGTAGATAGTTTTAAAAAGAACATAATACTCAAGGCAGACATTTCTTACTAGTTAAGCTAAAATATTGTTTTTAAGAAGATTTCAGGGAATATTTTTGGTTTGAGTTTTAAAGATTATCTCAGAGCAGTAGTTTCAGGGGTTCATCCAGCCCCCATGGCTCTAGAAAGTCTGGAGTCCATGAGAATTTTTGATTCTGTTCTACATTTTCCCCCTTTTGGTCAGGATTCTTCTATAGAATCTGTGATTAAAATGTTTGGTGATGGTAGCCAGGCACCATCCAGTTCTTCTGGTCTCATGGCAAAGGAGGCAGTTATTCATGGAGGCAATTAGCCATACATTCCATATCTTCCTCCTATTCCTCTCTCCTTCCTCTGTTGCTCCACACGAATAGAGACCAGTTGTGCCTTGGATGGCAGCCTGCAAGCTTTTAAGACCCCGTGCACTATGCAACGAACTAGGAAGTAAAACAGATGAAGCACTAAGCACATTATTAGGCCCAGTTAACTGGGATGTCCCATGAAACCATGATCCTAAACCTGTAAACCAAAGAACCAAATCCCATGAGGTTTTTGGTTGTACATAAGCAGCCTCAGCAACTACTCTGTTTTGTTTTTTTTTTGTTGTAGTTGATGTAAATATGTCTATCATACAAGTTTTGCCAGTTCAACTTTTTACAGTTATGCGATTTATTGACAGCAATTACAGTAATCTGTAACCCTACCCTTAAGTAATGTGATTTTTCCATCACTATTAACACCCCCCC